TGCAACTTTCATCTGAGCAGGAGGAGAACTGCAACTTTCATCTGAGCTCAGGTGGTTTTATCGAAGCAAAGCAGGAAATCTGCGTTTTCTGCATAAAAAGCTGTGAAAGTTGTGCCAGGAGCAGAAAGTGAGTGGTTAAAAGCAGCAATAAATAAATAAATATAAACAGAGGGTTGGTTAAAAGTAACAAAAAGATAAATAAAAGTAGAAAAATGCTAGCTAAAATGGCAAAAGGCTAAAAAGTAACAACATGCAAAGCTCAAAGTATTAAAAACAGCTAATATAAGCTAAAGGACAACAAAGCCAAAAGCCAGCCATGTATGAATGTATTATTCAAAGACATTATAAATACAATAAAAATAAAATTGAAATGTATTATTCGAGCATAAAACTAGTACCAAGTACAATTCAATATGTATAAAAATAGTACAACTTAAGTTGTTCAAAAATAATAGATTTAAAATGTATTTTCTAAAAATTTTGCAAATACATTTAATATATTAAATATCAGTATAAAGTATATTTCATTTTCAACTGGGCAAAAGTAGCAAAAACTTGGATAAAAGCTAAATGTTGCCTACAAGACCCAAAGCATATATAGGTAAAAGCTAAAATTGCAAAAACGCTGCTAAGCTTAAAGTAGAAAAAGGCTAACTAAAAGCTAATAAAGCTAAAGGTTTACTAAAACTAGCCAAATGGGAATTAAAGGTCAAAGCCAGCCAAAAGCTACAAGAGCTAAAACTTGACATCTGTTAAAACCTTGCTAAATTTAGCAAAGGTAAATGAAGTCAATTGGCAGCTAATAAAGTAAAGCTGAAGTTAGCAAAAGCCAGGCTTAAAGCTAAAAAGCCAAAAACAAGAAAAAAAAAGTCCACATTAAACAAAAATGGGAAATGGAATTAAATATTTTGGATGATGACTCTTGGGAGAATATTTGTTTTGGTTGCCAGGGGACTCGGGAGCCAACTCTGGAAAGAGTTTGATTGGAAATGCAAAATTAGGTTTTATCGAACCCCAGTGAAGACTTTTCTTTCTGGGCGTGGCAATAATGGTGCTCTTTTGTTCAAGCTCTCTTGTTGTTGTTTTTATTTTTGTTTTCATTTGGCCCTGTACAACGACAAATGTATATTGTTTTTGTTTTTGCTGTTGAAGAGATGGCCAAGTCTCAAGACCAAATACTTTGTATGTGATTTGCCTTGTTTGCATTATTCATTCAGACATGAGAAGGTTCCCAAGTTCAAAGATGAGGTGGTGCGTTGCCACAGAAAAGGTTTTGTAATGAAACATTTTAAAATAAGATCTTTCTTCACCTCCAGCTTACCACAAGGTTAAACTTTGTCCCCATTTTTTTTTAATTCTGTAAAACATTTTTGACTCAAAAATAGTCATTTAGCGCCAACAATCTGATTCACAAAGAGCTGTTAAGTTGCACCAGGTACAATAAAGTGAGTCAAAAATCAGCCAACGTTCCCCCAAAATCTTAAAACCTTTTAAAGATCCGTTCATCAAAATGTTTTTAAAAGACAACAAACAGATTTGACTCCTTGACGGCAAAATTAGAAAAAAAGAAGAAGAAATGTGGATAGTTTAAAAGTTTTGCAGAAAGTTTTCTAAAATGTTTCCATGCATGTTTAGTTTTGATTATGTTTTTTGTTTTCAGTGTCCCAATATCAGAGTGAGGTTCACATTATTATATGTAACGGTACCTTTTGATGTGCCATTTTAAAATACTTTTAGTGGAATAAAATGCAAAAAGAGAGAAAAATGCAACATAAAAACATCAATTTACATACTTTTTTTTTTTGGTTTTTATTCCAACACTTATTTCACATGTGAGTGATAATTTAATTAACTCTGAACTTCCTATCCAAAGTTGTGATTTAAGCTCCAGTGAAGCTACATTTTTACTAATAAGCATGGATTAGATAAACATTCTAAAAGATGCTTTTGCCCCTTTAACCTTCCTCCTTTTTTATCATTAAATAGCCACATAGATTTATTTTTAGGACACATTAGATGGAGGCAGGTCAGGTACCAAAACATCAACATCGCAGGTGTTGATAAAGCATCATCAACTTATTAATCAGACAAAATTATACAAAGAAAAAAAAACAGGCTTTGTAAATGGACAGAGTGCGTATGACCTTTTTTAATTTAAGTACAATTTGTTCTGTTTTCTAAATGACCTTTAGTTAGAATCATTTTGGTGTACTACCTGAGATCTAGCAGCAGGGGGCGCTCCAGATTAAGTAGTGTTCTGTTTATCAACAGGTTGTACAGCTTCTCTGTGCTAAATGTTAGTTTAACAACAAATAAATTAATTAATTAAAATATATTTTTAACACAGTTTTGACCACAGTCTGCCAGTGAAACACAGTAATACACATTTTAGTTTTTATCTAAATGTAAAAAGTTACAATAAAACAAGCAAAGCTTCTAAAAGTTTCCTTCAGTGAATCCAGGTGATTATGTTGTGCAATATGACAGAGCAGATCTTTACTGGTGTGTCTTTTACAGCTCATTATAAATAAAAACTGACTTCAGCTGGCTAAAAATAAATATGTCTTCCTGTGAGTGCCATCTTTACAGCTGTGAGCAATAAAGAAGAAAATAAAAAGCAAAGAACAGCACTTAATCATATTTTAATCCACACTATCAAAGATAACAACATAGTAATATCTTTGTTGGCTTTATTTGCTGTATTAGCAAACCAATAAACCTATTAAGTTATAGGTTGCATTTTATAAATCATGTCCAAGGCCTACATTCTGTTCAATGATAGAAGTGGATAAAATATAAACAAGTAAAACCATTTTTATTTGCATAGCACATTTCATACAGCTACAAAAATAAAATACAATTTAAAGACAGGAACAATGTTTAGGCCTGAATTTTTGTTATATCAGAATTTATATTGACAGAAATGCATGAGAAACTGATAAAGAATGAAAACAACTTTAATATTTATAAACTATCAGTAATAAATAATTTACAGAAAAAAGCTAAATTAGATAGATAAACCTAATCACAGTCATTTCATCCCTATTAATGATTCATTGATTGTAATGAAATGCCAATGAGTTCAAAGTTATTGATCTGAAAAGCAGAAGATTGCATCAAATTTTATTTTGTTGCAATCCTTCATCCAGAGCAAGCACTTGGCGACAGTGGAAAGGAATGACTTCCTTTTAACAGGAAGAAACCTCTATCGTACGCAGACTCAGGATGAGCAGCCAGCTGGAGTTTGAAAGCACAATAAAGGAACAGACATGGTAGCTATTGCTTTATGTGTAGTTTCTATGAAAAACAAGCAGAAAACACAGTTTGATGTCATTGATAATAATAATAATAATAATAATAATAATAATAATAATAATAATAAT